ATATAACTGTCCTCTTACCTTTAAGTTCATAACCAGGCACTTCTTCCCTGTCATATGGGACGATATAACTGTCCTCTTACCTTTAAGTTCTTAACCAGACACTTCTTGCTTGTCATACGGGACAATATAACTGTCCTCTTACCTTTAAGTTCATAACCAGGCACTTCTTGCTTGTCATACGGGACGAAATAACTGTCTTCTTACCTTTAAGTTCATAACCAGGCACTTCTTGCTTGTCATGTGGGACGAGTAAGAACCGGAGTGGGAGAATCTCTTTCCGCAGTTCGGACAGGTGAAAGGTTTCTCCCCGCTGTGGATCCGGAGGTGTTCCTTCAGGTGATGTTTGAACTTGAAGGCCTTGCCGCATTCCGGACACTTGAACTTCCGCAGCACCGCGCTCTCGTCGTGGCTGATCATGTGTCGCTGTAGACGGTAGACGTTGGCAAAGCTCTTATTGCAAATCTTGCAGGACTAAACAAGAGAGGGGAGGAGGGAAATGTTGCTAGAGGGCCATGCAAAACTTGGGGATAGATAGGGTTAGCTGAGTTAGTGGACAGGTTTAACTACGTCCTGCTGAAAGGGTGATTTAATTAGTCTAAAATCGACAGGTAAAGAAGTGGAGTAGACAAGCAAGTTCTCCACAAAAAGTGGTCGACGAAATGAGGTAAGTTAATAGTAAGTATTAGTTTCTAGAAAGGCTTAAATGTTTAGTTTTGAATTCACAGAGCTGAAAAATGTCAACATATATAGCAAAGGAGTGAAAGCTTGTACTATCGTTTTAAAAACGTAGATTTTTCAATTAACACTACGAATATTGGTTTAAGGAACGTGATACTCTAAATGTAACAGTAACGTAATCTAACAAGGAACTAACACATTATGTTTTGTCTTCTGGCAGTGTTCCTTTTAGCTTGAGTCTTTCCAAAAAAGGGCTTGCAGTTAAATTACTCTAAATTTCAGGTTTAAAACAAAACAATTTTCCATATAAGGTGTGAAGCCATTGTTTTTAATCCCGACACTACGAACCAGATGCGATATTTTTATTTTATTTCTGACCTTGATTATATTAATACTGTTTTATGGAACGATATAAAAAAAACATTATATTTCAGGTACGACTTAACACAGACAGTACCGTACTACTTCTATTACCGTTTAGCTGTATCTGAAGTAAGAAAACAACAACTTATATTTCAGGTAGGACTTAACACAGACAGTACCGTACTACTTCTATTACCGTTTAGCTGTATTTGAAGTAGGCATATGGCTGAAACGTTGTATGTTAAACACATACACCGTGAGAGTGTTGAAATCAGATTCAGTATGTTTTTTTCTCTCGTTAAATCTTGGTTACCACTCTTAAACAAGGATTATCCTCGTTAATACGCATTTCATATGTACATAAAAACAGGTTTATTTTCAACGCATATAATCTTAGTACAGAAGACTAATAGCTAAAAACAAGCGCCGAATTATTGGACAGTTTAAACACATCATAATTATAACTCGTGATGTTATCGCTCAATAGCTGTAATTTAAACAACTGTTATAGAAGTGTCGAATTTTTACCCTTGGTTTGGCGATTAAATATCAATCGCAAATTAGCATTACTAATTAGCATATGAAATTATCAGAAGCTAAAAGAATAATAAGAAAAATATATCTTAAAAAATCTGTATTTTATCAGTTGTTGGATTAAGATAATTTGAGCTCGCATGAAAGACCGAAAATACACAAACCTTCTTTCAATAAATTAATGCAGTACGTAATAAATTTCTTAGCACCAGGGTGCGTCATTTTAAAATATCAATAGTAGAAAGAAGCATACCTGGTTGGATGTAGTATGGATCAGTTCGTGTTTTTCCAAATGCTTTTTGTCAGAGAACAGAGACTTGCACTTGGTACAGACGTGTTTTGACTCATTCTCCTGCTCACTAGTGCCCTCTGTGTTTGGGTGCGCGTCTTTCAGGTGGTCTCGGAGAGCATACAGTGCATGTGGTCCCATGTAACTTTGATCGCAGTGGGTGCAGCTTACTACATCGGAAGCACCTATTTGTACAAAACAAAGAATAGGAAATATTTATGAATTAACAGGATATACGTCGAGTGTATCGCGGTACAAAAAAAAAAGGAGACAAATTAAACTATGTAAGGGAGACTTCTACCAGCTGGTTCTACTGTAAAAGCTAAGATATACACTTCCAGCCTCACAAATTACACAGAATAAAACATACAGATGCAGTAATCTACATTCTGGATCAGACGAGAGCAGTCAGATGTCATTCTATTAACTGCCTATTCAAGCCAACATGGTAAACTTAGAGTAAGCCAAACCACGATAGCAGCACTAATGTAGTCAATTTTCTTCCGAGACGCTGCGTCAACGTGTATTAGCTCTCCGGTTTTCGTTATCTCGTTTGGGATTGGTTCATCAACAACACAGTATACCCCAGGTATGAGTCATAACGAGATTGTATACACAAATTTGATACACTATTCGATGGAACGGCGTTATGCCTTTCATTTCACTCTCCGCGTGGATATCCATATCAGCAGAGGAGAAACTTATTCGCGTCCGCTGGCCGAACCAACTCCGACAGTATCGTCAGTCAGATAGAGCCATGCTGAGTGAAACGTAAAGAAACCAGTAGTCTGGAATAATGTGTAACATGCTTAAAGTATGACAACGGATCTCACGAGTATGTGTATTAAACCACGGAAACTTAAAACGTTAGAAATCATTTAGCACTTAAGTTTTTCATCAGAAAATACAGCTTCAAGTATCTGCTGTTTGTTTGTTTTAGAGAGAAAAGCCGCTGGAAATCGAACCCCGGATTTGAGCGTTGTAAGTCCGTAAGCTTACCACTGTCCCACCTCGGGACAATATTTACTGAAAGCAATAAATTTAGCTAAAAAAAATGTGAGTGATTTCGAACTAAGAGGGTCAGATAATTAAGAATGTGAGTGATTTCGAACTAAGAGGGTCAGATAATTAAGAATGTGAGTGATTTCGAACTAAGAAGGCCAGTTAATTAAGAATGTGAGTGATTTCGAATTAAGAGGGCCAGATAATTAAGAATGTGAGTGATTTCGAACTAGAAGGCCAGATAATTAAGAATGCGAGTGATTTCGAACTAAGAAGGTTAGATAATTAAGAATGTGAGTGATTTCGAACTAGAAGGCCAGATAATTAAGAATGTGAGTGATTTCGAATTTAGAGGGCCAGATAATTAAGAATGTGAGTGATTTCGAACTAAGAAGGTCAGATAATTAAGAATTTGAGTGATTTCGAATTAAGAGGGCCAGATAATTAAGAATGTGAGTGATTTCGAACTAAGAAGGTCAGATAATTAAGAATGTGAGTGATTTCGAACTAGAAGGCCAGATAATTAAGAATGTGAGTGATTTCGAATTAAGAGGGCCAGATAATTAAGAATGTGAGTGATTTCAAAACTAGAGGGCCAGATAATTAAGAATATCTCACTCTCGTGAGTTCTCGTGCAAATTTTGTGAAATGTAATAAACATAAAACTCGATAAATTAGGCACAAGAGATTCGGGCTAACGAAGAAGGGAAGGTGCTAAGCCTTTGTATTTTATAGTTTCAATTTTACGCTTACCAGAAATTTGTGTAGTTCAGGTCTGGATCAAGAGAACAGCGGGTCCATAGGAAACTTTAGTTCTATGAGACAAAATACCACTTTTTGCCACAAATCCTTAGTTGTTGTTTTTTTTTTTTGTGTGTATGTGATACAATTTATTTTACTCAACGAAACAACCTTTCACTAATAATGCTTTTAAAATTCTAAAGTTGTAAACATAAAACATATCTGAGAAGGCTGTAAAAATAAACTAATTTCCGATAGTTTAGAGAGGGGTATTTATATGATTAAAAGAGGAACTGGTATGCGAGCGTGGGAAGCTTTTTGAAAATTTCATTAGGCTATGCAAAAAATGGTATTAGAAGCAGGGAAGTATGGACGACGTCGCCATATGCGTAAGGGAGGGGTGGGTGTAGATAGTCCACTGGATTGCAAACGGAAAACGTATTTGGGGAATGGATCTGTCATCCCTCAGAGCCCCATCTCAGACAGCAGTGTTTACGTGTTAAGGTTTTATGTCTGAATTTCTTCACTTGTTTATAAACGATTTAGAGTACCGGTACCGTCACCCTGTTGAATAGGGACCTGTGAGAAATATCACTGAGTTTTAATATTTGAAACCGATAACCAGGTTTTGAAAGCGTCACTAAATATGGTGTCTCTTACTAGAAAAGTCGATCGGTTTATCATTTTTGTTGTAGGCGTGTTTAGTGGGTATCACATGTTGTGGATTAGGCATAACACACTCAGGTTTAACCTCGCGGTCATTGAGACGCCCCGCACGACCATCATATTCGTTCACAACTCTACGTACCTAAACTCACATGTGAGTAGTCAAGGCACGTCATTTAACTGTTTAAATTACTTTAAATACACAACCCTGCCTTTAAATGTAGTAAACATGGTGCACTTGAATACAAAATACACAACCAAAAAGGTTTCCTCCTAAAACAAAATTAATAAAAATAATAAAACAGCTGTTGAATAACCTACGGACTCATAGGAAACTAAGTACCTTCTTTTTGTTGTTTAGAACAATATATAATAAATAATTTCATAAAATCAGCGGAGTTTAAGAACAGTTTAGGCAACGAACAACACGACATGTATGGTGTCACCAACCATTACTACCCTCAGCTCTGCCCCCAGAGCACTACTGAAAACTACCTTATTAGCATTTTAATAGAGGAGCACCTGTTGGTCTCTCGAGTCACGAGATAAGAGGTAATAGTGTCATTCTGATTCACAGTTTACGACTACGAAGGGCGGGTCTCCCCGGACATCCCCGCGATAGTCCGGAACTGATAAGACCTCGGGTACGGATTCTCGGATGCTTTGATGGAGCATCGTAAATAGGATGTCATTTATTACATAGTATAATAATATATGGATATGAAGGATAAATACACACAGAGAAAAATAAAAGATATTCGATCTTAATTACACCGTCTTATTTATCGATTCAAAAGAATGGTTCTGTTTATCGCGCGCGTGTCTTTTCAACTACAAATATAAGGCGACCATTGTTATTTGGGCTGAACGGTGTTCCCAAACTCGTGTTTTTAACTGAACCAACGTGTACCTCGCACACACACAATGATCGGGAGGGGGAGACATTTCGTTAGGGAGATTGTTTTGGTTTGACTGTTGTTCAGCACAGAGCTTCACGATTGGATATCTGTGCTCTGTCTACCATGGTAAAAAAACAAACAAAAACAAACCTGAACGTGGGAACAAATACATTTTGTTAACGATTAAACTTGTATAGAAAAAAAAATATCTTTACTCTTTAGATAATAATTTTAAAAACTTTTTATTTCACCCAAAGTTTCGCCGTTGCTGCTTCACCAGTTCTTGTTCTACGGGACGTGAACCTTGGATCCGTAATCAGGCATGTTAACCATTAGGCTACGCTTAGCCGTTATCGTTTGGTACTGTACAGTGTACAAGAAATTAATGTTTCACCAAGATGACTGCATGTAAGATTTTGTTTAATGTAAAACTAGGGTTAAACTCGTGCTTGAAACATTTTTATGGTTGTGGTGTTTTATACTTGAATGCACCAAGTTTATTAAATGTAAAGGAAGTGTTGCATATTTAAAGTAATTAAAACAGTCGAGTGACCTGCCTAGACTACTTACGTATGAGGTTAGGTTCTGAGATTTTGTTTAATGTAAAACTAGGGTTAAACTCGTGCTTGAAACATGTTTATGGTTGTGGTGTTTTATACTTGAATGCACCAAGTTTATTAAATGTAAAGGAAGTGTTGTATATTTAAAGTAATTAAAACAGTCGAGTGACCTGCCTAGACTACTTACGTATGAGGTTAGGTTCTGAATGAATCTGATGGTCGTGCGGGGCGTCTCAATGACTGCGAGGTTAAACCTAAGTGGGTTAACCTATTACACAATACCTGATACCCACCAAACACCTCTAGTACAAAAGATACTTTGAGACGAATGGTCTGATAAAAAAAAATGGCAAACAGATCGACT